ACACACTAACCAATCAACTAACCAACCAACTAACCAACAATGCAAGACCCACCAACCAACCAAAATGCAAGACTTACCAACCAACCAACCAACCAAGATGATATCAGATGCCTAAACCACCACAGCTGACTCCATTCAAAATGGAAAAGCAGCAAGTTTATTTCAAGCTCCCACTGAATAACAGAGTTTTTCCATCAAATGCTGAGCCAGTCAGAGGAGCTCATTTCAGTGGATTATATTCAGGATCTTATTCTTTTGGTCATGATCCATACCTCAAGACCATGGGTGAACATTTAAACATAGACAAATAAAAAAAACGGAGAGCTTTGCCTTTAGGCTCAAGTCCTTCTTCATCAAGACAGACTGGCGCAACATCCCCATCACTGTGAATGAGACCCTAGTCCATAGATTTGGGGTCTTCGCCTCAAGTGTAAGAGTTCAGGACCTGCAATTCTTTCTTGAGTGATGGCAGGATGGAGAGGGAGATAGTTAGACCAATCAAGGCCACTCTGGATTTGGATGAATTTATCTAAAACATGTTATCAACGTTTAGTGCATACTTTCTTAAATAAGCTTCCTCAAAAGCCTCACCCACAATTCTTTGATCCCATTTCAAAATGCTTTGTGTCTCTTAATAAATCCCAATGCCGATTAGTGTGTTCAGTCAACCTTCAGCTGTACGTTTTCAACAGTATGCCACAACGATTTTACAAAAAACTAATGTGTGAATCATCCTAAGAATGCATTTATTCATTCATTCCGTCAAACTTTATTTATGCAGGTTAGTCTCATTGAGCCCCGAGGACTCATTTACAAGAGAAACCTGTTTTAACAAGAACAATGAGAACAGTAGACAATCATAAAAAGCATGTCAATTGAAAAATAAATGGAAGAAAATGATATTAAAATACTAAACAAAAACAGCTACATTATAAAGCGATATAAAATATCAAAAACAGGAACATGTTTGCGTTGGTTTTTTGCCATGAACTTAGCAGTTGTTTGAAGTCACTTAGAAAGGTCAAGGTCGAGAGCTTCAGATCTTTTTGCAAGGTGTTCCAGGAAACATGAGCGGAGTAGGAGAAGGCCCTTTTGCCTAGTTCAGTCCGCACTGAGGGTACACTGCATGTAATAATGTCCTGAGAGCGCACGCTGTAGCTGCACGCACTTAGTGACATGTAGGAGGAGATGTATGAAGGCAACAGACCAAGAAGTGATTTAAAGATGAAAATGTACCAGTGAGGGAGTCTGAATGAAGTTAATGATGACCTATTAACCAGTGAATACAGGGTGCAGTGATGGATACGGAAAAGTATCTTCTCAAAAACATAGACCAGAAACATGTGCCTTATTTTGGCTGATAGTTTTATTGCTTCATCTTTCTTGGCATGGCAAGTCTAAATGTCTTCTGAGTCATCACAATTTTCTGAGAACTTGTTAAATTGGCACAGACACGAGGAACATTTTATTTAATGTAACATCCTAAACCCAATAGGGATGCAAGAGGAACGCAAAAAAGACATGCCAATGAAAGCGTGTAATTAAAAAAAAAATCCAGTTGGTGCTCACGCCACATCATCAAGGTTAGCAGTTGAGCGCAGCTTTTACGTAAAACGACCCCCCCCCCCCCATAATAAAGTTAATAAAGTGTACAAAATGAAAACACACAATACAAAACTGAAACAGTCTTACTGTGTCACAGGTGTGTAAGGCCAAGAAGATAGTAAAAGCCCCGTTGGTTGGTCGGACAATTGACCAGATTGTTGTATTCAGGGTCCGTGACTTTAAAAACCTGTAGGCAGTGAAAAAAGCAACAATAAAATTTAAACAGTTTTATTAAATAAACACACCTTTCAACCACTTTTGTTGCATTCTGCTTGAAAGCGAAAGGCAGGCTATAAGTGTAAAAACACTATAGCCTGCTTTTCACCTTGTCCATGCCTGTGTCTATGTGGGCTTTTATGTCTGTTTGCAAAATAACTCACAAACAATTGGACATTTTTTTAATGAAACTCAAAAATCAATGATTGAATATAAACCTACAGCTGATGAACATTTGGAGCCACAGTTAATCGGCATTAAAGAACATACAAATGGTCTGTCATGATCTTAGCGTGAGGTTGAACCCAGGGTGCAGACGGGACTCGGAGCTCGTGGCTAAATAAAGAATATTTATTACAATCAATGAAAAGGACTGATGTGGCAGTCAAACTTACATATAGGGAGGAGATCAGGAGGGGAGCAGAAACAGAACATGAACACCTAGAAGCACAATCCACGGATAAACAAGAAGACGCCAAGACACAGAATAAATAGGAACACCAGTGATCGACAATGAAGAACACCTGGGGTGATTAGGATAGGGGCCAAGCGTGTAGGAGTTGGAAAAACACAGGGAAGACAAACACCAACACACCAATCCTCACAATAACTCAGCCAATTTCACAGATACTAAGCTAAAACTGGGTGTGGTAGTAGCTGAGAGTCATCACCAACATATATGTATACATATACTTTGCCATTAATTATCAGAGTCAACATTCTCCGAGTGCTGGTAGGCCGCACATGATCCTACAATAAGGTTTCAAATTGTGTATATTGATATTTTCTTAAGGAAAGTTAAGTCTGAGATTGTCATCATTGTTCCCATACAATGGCAAAATTAGTTTTTTGCATTTAATCCATCACACGTGAGATACACCCAGGTGGAGCAGTGGGCAGCAATGTAAGCACCCGGGGAGCAACTAGGGATTAGGTGTCTTGCTCAGAGACACCATGACATGTGGGAATGGCTGGGAGTCGAACCGTGACTTCTCTCGGCCCCAGCAAGATTTCACCAAAACAACTAGAACTTTTTTTTTTTATTACTTAAAATGATTATAGTCTGAAACTCTTGCATGAACGGAGGAAGGTGGTATGCATTCATTTTGGAAATACCAGAGTGGTATTTAGATTCAGATTAAGATACTTATTGGCTGTGCCACAGTTTAAGCTCTGATAGTCTGGAAAGCGTTTTTAAGCATCTTATGTTGGTGTTACTACGTGAACATGCGTATCTGTGCTGAAGCTGTTGAACGCGGCGGTCCGACAGAATCTGAGTAAACCTTGGACTGACTAGAAGCACGGATTATGGGAAATGATACACCTCAACCTCAGCACCATTGGCAAGACATACCTGGTCTGTGCTCTGCGCGTATACATTTACATAGCAACACGGATGTTTGGTTTAAAAAAAACAGAGCAAACAAAACAAACGGTGTGTGCAGGGGTATAATTAGATGACATAGCGTTGTTTCACCGAAGAATGACATTTGGAAGAAAACGCTTTATAAGCTGAAAAAACAGGCTCTCATTTGGCTAGCCATTAGCCTAGCGTGCACAAAGACTTTTTCGTCTGTCTCTATACTTTGAGCTTAATGACTGATAAGGTACAAACCACAGAGAGCTATTTGACAGAACATCTACTTAAAGATGACAGGAGTGTCGACTTCCAAGGAACGCCCTTTATCCTTGAGTTGCAGTCCCTTCTGTAGCTATTGAGTTTTTCCTTTAATGAAGTCGGAGCATTCCTGACTAACCTGAACTGTATTCACGACACTATAGTTAGTTCATTTTCTGTTTCTTTCAGCTAAATCAATAATAATTCAAGAACGCAACACTCAATCAGATGTCAAGCGTTTGTGAAATTGTGAATATTAAACAGCGACTGCATAGAGGTTAGTCCGTGATAGTGACAGTCACCTCCAGGATAAGAAGAGTCTTTTAAGTTGAGTTAATACTTAGAGTAAGTTTAAATTTGAAATATTTAGTGAGTACTTTCCTCCAGGATGAAAGGTGATCAAATGTTGTGCTGAGAGGCTGACCTGTTCCGTATATATCGCAGGAAGTCTTGATGCAGAACGTAGAAGCGGCTCTCGTTGAACTGTCCAGAATAGTAAGTTATGGGGCTGGAGGAAAAAGAGAACACATTAGAATCTGGTGAGAATTAAAGTACAATAACAGCAACTAATAACTGTAATTTATGATAAACTGTGCATGATGCCAACATACAGTTCCTATAAAAAGTATTCACGTCCATGAATAACTCACCCTTTTATTACTGTAATTAATCAGTCAGGATCAATAAAAATGGGCCTTGCGACAAAATAAACAAATAATAAAAATTTAAATTAAATAAAGAATCGTGAAAACTCTTCAAATGAAAATCATATTAATACAAAATAATGCAAATTAAACTGCTGATTTGATATTTTGGCTGCGTGTAAAGTCTTAAGCTGTAGTAAAACAAAACACATTTGTTCTTTATTTATTTGCAAAAGTCACAAATTCGCCTACGATTCAGTGGCTGAACAAGTATAAACTGACGCCTCAGTGCCTGGAGAGCAAATCATTTTCAGGTTTCAGCTGGCTTTGTACCATTTTTATTGTTGCTGCAACTGTTAAAAACAGAAAATGTTGTAGGTATGAGTGTATGAGGACGCTATAAAAGCAACAGCATACAGTACAACCCATATATTCTGTATATAACCAACCCATGAAATAAAAGATACAAGTTTAACTCAAACAGGTATTTTAAATTAGAACACAACATTAAAAATAGTCAAAAGTTAAAAAAAAAAAAGTTAAAATGACAATATGTTAAAAATCATGTACAAGCTATTTTAAGTAAAGCTTCACAAAGTGTCTTTACTGAGTAATTGTGAAACCAGCTTGGACACAGACTGTTTTCCTCAGGTGTGTTCAGTCTACGAACGTCCTCCTACTAAAGATGATGCATTTTAATGACCTAATTACTCGGCTTGTTATGTACTGTTCTGTTATGTGTGTTTTAAACCATTGTAATAGTTTTAAATGGAATTTAAAATATTTTTTAGTGACCCATTGTCAGTTCTTTAATTATCTACGGTTCAGAGGCAGATCGTCAGTGGAGTCATCTTAATAATTTACTTAGCTTCAAAATTATTTTATTGTATTTTCAATAATTTTCCACATAGAAATACATTGAGATCTCTTCAATCCCGTATAAAACATTATTCTTTTTGGAATCTGCTTCAGCATGGGGGACATATTTGGCCTTATTCTGCTTCTTTCAGTTTTTCGCCAGACTTTTGCTGCCTTTAGCTTTTAGCTATTTGTTAGCTGCTTTTAGTTTTTAGCCACACCTCTGCTACTTTTACCCACTCTTCTGATACTTTTAGCATTTAGCTAGCCTTTTGCCATCTTTAGCTTTTAGCTATTGTTTTACTACCTTCAGCTTTTAGTCTTGTGCTATTTAATTATTAGCAATTTTTGGCTAGCTTTTTAGTACTTTTAGTTGTTGCCTACAGTTCTGCTACTTCTTCCTATCAGCTTGCTTTTGAATACTTTTAAACTTTAACGAGCGTTTTGGTTTCGCTTTCATCTAAATGCTTGCTCCTTTTAGCTATCCTGATGCATGCTCAATAATCCAGGTAGAAAAATCCAAAAAAGTTCAATCTGGTCCTCTGGACATTCAAAAAAACAAAAAACAAAACAAAAAAAGGTAGATACGTTTCGTCTTTCACCCAAGAGACTTCCTCAGTCTGAGGTGCTGTATTCACCTCAGTCTCTTAAATAGCACCTTCTCAGAGTGGATCAACCAGTTTGCTGCTGACAACCAAAACCAGCTGATCACATGCTCAAGAAGGACCAGCTTATATCTAGCCTTTTCTTACTGTTAGAGTTTAGTTATTATTCTGCTATTTTTAGCTTTTAGTTAGTCTTTTGCTACTTTAAGCTTATAGTTTAGTTATTATTCTACTAATTTTAGCTTTCAGTTAGTCCTTTGCCATTTTTAGCTAGCCTTTTGCTACTTTTGGCTAATCTGATGCATTTTTTAGCTAGTTTTTTTGATACTCTTAGTTAGCATTTTGCTTTATCAACTGAGTTATAGCTTCTTCAACGAGTTTTAGCAAAGTCATTCAGCGCTCATTGTTCACAAAAAATGCAGTTCCTCTGGTCCCAACAAAATCTCAGTAATTACAGAGTCGAGTATGTGTCAGTCAAATATTTTCCTATGTATTAAAATGCAGAGACATGCTGGGGGTGACACCATGCAACATGTTTTGTTTCTGTACAGAATTATCATTGCTAAATAAACTTCATCTGAGTTTAATATTTACCCTTTTTGATCAGATCCACCTTTTGACTGGAGAAGACGCTGGAGCCACAAGTAGTCCCGATCCCCTTCAGGAATCAGGACGTACTTTATACCCTGAAAACAAGGAGAGGGGAGGTATTTTAAATGTTTGAGGGTGATAAACTCTCAGCGTCACTGTGGGTTAAATACCTCATCGTGCGGGGCGGATTTGTACCCGTACTTCTTCAACAGGTACACTGACGAAGAGATGGAGTAAGACGTGTGAACGTACACCGACGTTCTGTTCCCCACGTCTTCCTCATAACCTTTGATCGCTGCACCGTTCACCCTGTCACACAAACAAATCAGAAACCTTTCTTTGTGGCTATGAAATAACATTATACTTATAAAATGAGCAAAAATTTGCTGTGGTAGTAGCTGAGAGTCATTCTGACAGACCTGCCGCTAACCTGGAAACAACCTCTGCCATTTTTAAACTCAATTATTGGTTCATAAACAAGTTCAGTTTGTTATTATTGTGTATAACTACACAAAATATCTTTAAACTTGTGTTTAGATGATATTGTTGTGTGATCTGATGTTAAAAATAATAATAAAAAAAAACTTTCTGCTCGAAAGTTGAACTTTTAGTTGTGTTTCGTTTCTGCCGCTTTCAACTGAGCATTCATTAAGTTTGACAGGTGTGATTAACGCCGAGGTTCCTGTATGCGCTGAGGTAATCGCTGTGGACTACAAATCATTAACGGTTCCTTTGATCAACATTTTTGAAGTTTAATCCAAAATAAAATACCATGGAAAATCAAACCCTGGAAGTTAAGTATAAGGAAACTTTAAAAAAAAAGTGTTATCAACGTTTTTAAATGAACAGTTTCATATTGAACACACTTGTGTAGCATTTACAAAGCTCATCTAAAAAAGATCTCTCTCTTCTTTGTTTTAAATAAATAAAACCAAGGTTGCTGTCATATAATCCACTCTTTGACCTAAAACAGGAATTTTTGAGTTCGGACATTGTGTTAAAAGCAAGTAAAAACAGAATGGGATGATTTGTAAATCTCAAAAACCCACATATCAAATGGTGCAACTGCTAAAGTGTAAAACATTAAAAAAAAAATATTATTTTTTAATGGCAGCAACACATCTCAAAAACGTTGGGACAAGACCGTGTTTACAGCTCTGCAGCATCTGCTCTTCTTTTAATGATAATCTGTAAAGGTTTAGGAACTGAGGACACCAGTTGTTGGAGGTTTTGGAGGGAATTTTGTCTCATTCTTGTCTGATGGAGGATTTTACCTGTTCTACAGCCCTGTCAGGTCTTCATCACTAGATATTGTACTGGACTAAATATATAATAATACACTATACTAAAACTTGCTTATAATTTTCTGAATTGATTGAGCCTTTTCAGATTAGTAAGATGCACACACCAGAGGCACTACTGCACCCCCATACCATCAGAGAGGCAGGCTTTTAAACATACTTCCAACAATAGGCCTTTCTCCTCTTTAGTGCAGAGGACCAGGTGTCTGAGGACTCTACAAAAATGTCTAATTTGAATCTGTACGACCACAGAACAGCTTCTCATGCTACTTTGAGGTTTTCCTTCTATTACTTCTAGCTTTTAGCTAGTCTTTTGCTACTTTTACCTCACTTTTATTATGTTTAGTACAGTTTTTAGCTAGTTTTGTGTTTAGTCTAGCAGCTGGATAGCGGTTTCCTACTTTTAGATTTTAGCTAATGTTTTGGTTCTTAGCTTTTAGCTAGTAGCCTGCTTCTTTTTGCTTTAACCGCTCAGTTTCAGCTTTTTTGGCAACATCATCTGTCGCTCAGCATTCACACCTTATGTTCACAGAAAAAGCACTTCCTCTAGTTAGTTAGGAGATCTGATAAGAGCCGAGGTGAAAGTCAATGTGTTCTGGTATCTTTATTTAGTTGTCATGCAACACATAGTGCAGAACAGCTGCTCACTAAAATAAAAAGTCAAATTCAGTCATCGTTTATGCCACTTGTGTTCACCTCTGGTTTTTAAACCTGATCAGGGGAGTCCGATGTCAAACGATCAAATTAACGCAGTACAACGTAACTGTATCATGTTTGGTGAAACTCAGAACCCAAATGTGAAACCAAAACTCAAAAATGCTCAAATATTATAATTAATTTGTTAAACACGAAGGACAATAAAAGGCTGAGGCAGCACGAAATACTTTGCAAATGACAACACTAAGGAGACTCGGAAAACCAGACATGAATCGTTTACAAGCACAATGCACGGACGAGGGACAAACAAAACGACAGTATTTAAAGAGCACTAAAATATTAATGAGGATCAGGTGAGAGTGGGAGGGAACAGAACTACCTGAGGGGAAAACGCTGGGGGAGCTGAACACAAAGCACAAGAACTACAGAAAAACTAAATAAACAACACACAAGACAAACGGACAAATTGCATTGTTAAGATGAAAACCAGTGGGCGTGTTAAAGGTTAGTGTCAAACAATTATTTACAGTTTGAACAAAGGGTGCCGAGAGAGCTAATCACGCATGTGCTACGCTAAGATGACAAACCTGGGAGCTGTAATTAAAATGAACGCTTAGAGTGAAATGTGTTGAAACTCGGCTGTAGAACAAAAAGAACAAGTTTGCTCTTTTCTCACCGGAAAACGTAGTCGTGAGCATCGATTTCTGCCCCCATTTTGGAGCCGTTGAGGATGCCTCCGGTTCCCACCACAGCGCAGTGCATGCAGCCATCGCCGCCTGGTCTTGGAAGGAGCAGCGGCTCGTTTGGCTTTGGGATCAGCTTTAATGCAGCCATTACCTCTGCAAACAAAAACAGAAGTTGAATACATGTTTAATTTCTGGTTCTTGTGAGAGGACGGCCACCCAGCACCTGACATCAGCTTCTCTCCACGGCAGGCTCGTGTAAAGGTCCTGTAGCTTTTTCAGACAATAGAAGCCAGGGCTCAACGCCACTTAAAAACCATTTCCTCAATAATCAGATTAAGAGAAGAGCAGAGCTGTCATCACCACTTGGGGCTGTTGGATCCTGTGTTGATGGAGATGAACCTGGTATAACTTGTCTTGTAACGTTCATTACAACTCGTCTGGACTATTGCAATTCACTTTTTGTGGGCCTGAGCCAGTCATTACTGACTCGACTTCAGCTGATTCGGAACGCTGCTGCTCGTCTTTTAACTGGCACCAGAAAACGAGAGCACATCACCCCTGTCTTAAAATCGCTACACTGGCTCCCAGTTTGCTTCCAGATTAATTTTAAGGTTCTTTTGTTTGTATTCAAGTGTCTTCATGGTCTCGCCCCACAGTATCTGTCCGACCTTCTCCAGCCGTACATTCCCTCATGCTCTCTCAGGTCAGCAGATCAGCTGCTGTTGGCCATCCCAAAGTCCAACAGGAGGCTGAGAGGTGACCGAGCGTTCTCAGTCGCCGCCCCTAAACTGTGTTAGTGTACAGCACTTTGGCCAACGGTGTTGTTTTAAAGTGCTTTATAAATAAAGTTGTATTGTATTGTATTGTATTGTCTCTCATCAATCATGTTAGAAATTAGCAACTCAAAGTGCTGGGAGAGGTTTCCCTTGTTAAAAGAGAGCTTACTGGGACTGGTACACAGTTTGCATCCATTTCAGGGGTGTCAAACCAATTTCCACCGAGGGCCACATCAGCATAATGGTTGCCCTCAAAGGGCCAGATGTAACTGTAAGACAGTATAAATGTAGCTAAATTTAACTAAATGTAATGTAAAATAAATGCAACTACAAACAGCTTCCATCTGCATCAACTTTTCTCTTCCTGGACATTTTGGGATCATTGTTTGTGTTTCTCAATTCCACTTGTTTGAAAAATGATATTGACGTGGAAAAACTGCAATGTAGTGGTGGGATGCTGTTACTTCGCGAGTAACATAATCAGCATGCATTATGGGAAGTTTGTTGCCAGTGCACCTTTTTGCCTTGTTTATTATACGACAGTCAGACCTTTTAAGTGCTTGCGGGCCATATAAAATGGTGTGGCGGGCCACATCTGGCCCGCGGGCCTTAAGTTTGACGCGTGTGCAATACATGTTTCTTGAGAAATAAAACTGGCATAACTTACCCAGTCTCCAAAACTATCTGAAGAAGAAGTACTGCAGGTTGAAATCCACAGAATAGCAATACAATAAAACTATAATAATATCCGTCTAGGATCACTATGGCTGCGGTTATGAACATGGTAAATGAAACTGACGTGTCATGATTATCAAGTTTTGGTTATGTTTTATGTTGCAGCATTCCAGCGAACCAGAAAGGCTTTGCGTGTAGTAACCACAACGTGCTTATTCATGAAGACAATTTCAGTTTACGAATGTAATATGTCTTTTTAGACAGATCTAGGAAAATATAAATTTGGTGTTACGTTAAAGAAGAGAGAAATCCAGATTGCAAACACTGTTCAAAATAAAGACTTAGCATTCCTTCAAGAAATACCTACTGTCTGGCACCTTTTGTATCAGAGCTTTAAAGGAAATCCTCTTACGAACTGTATGTCCATGAGTTCTAAATATGCATCTTTCTGAGAGTTTCAATAAAGTGTGTTTGCAATTTTATGTATTAGGGTTGTCTAAATAAATCTCCTATATCACTCTTTGAATCCTTTGAATAAAAAACAAAACCTGCAACCCTGTCTAACGCAGGTAAGATACTAGCTACTCAAAACTACTCTACACACATACAGTTAAAATAACTCTGGCCTATTCCAAGAAAATGAGTACATATATGTGATGATTATCAATTTACTTGCCATTCATTAATCAAACATAAGTTTTGGAGAACTGCCAAAACAAATACATACCATCATGCTTCATTTGCATAAAACCAAACGGGTTGTTAAAATGTGAGAGCCGGTTCCACTCGCTCATGTTGATGCTATCTCTGTGCAGATACAAGCGTATGTTGGGCAAGAAAGCTTTCTGGAAGTCGTTGTCCTTTGAGTTACGCAACGACTGGATGCATGTCTGGGTAGGACAAAAAAAAATATCGAATGACAAATAAATTCAAAATGTTCATTTAATCAGGAACTTATCCAGGGTGTAAAGAATAAAGATGGCGGTTGTTTAATCAAGGCAGTTAAAGAGTGTATTGTGTTTGATTTAATGAGCAACTTAACCAAATAATTGTAAAGCGTACAGAGAGAAGAGCAAACAGAAAATGTATCCACACCAAAGACACACAACTGAACATCTTTCCAGCAGAACTGCCAACACCAATTAAGTTAATAAATTTGCTAAGTTGTCATAAAGCACTTACTGTCAATCTAGGTGGAACATCCTGATTATAAATGTCCTCAAAGTCCCACTGAGGAAGCTTCTTGAAGGACTCCTTGAGTATGATGGGAATAGGAGTCTCAGGAACAGGGGTTGTCGTATTAAGTGATTTTGTACTTTGCGCCGATGGTCTCAATTCTCCTTTCTTTAGCCAAAATTCAGCATCTTTAATGAATCTGTTTTCTCCTCTGGTTGTGTTAAATCTCAAAAAGACTGGCCAGCTGGATTTGAAATTTAATAAAATTGCAACAAAAATTAATTTAGCAGGCAGAACTCCTTGAAAATAACAGAAGCACAGAATCAAAATCTTCCACTATGAAAAATGGGAAAAAACAAACTTACCTCTTGGTTTCTGGTAAATGTTCCTGCATTAGAATAAAAATGAAAATGCTGGCTAATATCACAGTCAGCAAAGAAAAAAGTCTGATACTTTGAATTGCCATCCCTGAGAAGTTCAGCCGAAGGCAGATGAAAAAAGCACGTCTTATCAGTTAGCGTAGCTCAAAGGACGAGTTTGATAGAAATCTTGTTCAACAGTTTGTTATAGTGAGCTAACCATCCTTCCGTTTAGTTCAGTCAGACAAGTACTGCTAGAAAAGTCAGACAAGGCATTTGCTCAAAGGCTGTAAAGCCAGCTGGATTGTAACTTGGCACTGGTTTCTGGAAAAATAACATACAACAATAAAACATGTAACACACCCTGAAATAAAGCTACTTTATTGTTGTTGCTAAGCACTTTGACAACAGGTTCTGTTTTAAATGTGCTCTATAAATAAAGTTGACTTGACTTGACTTTATTGCATAAAAAAGGAAAGGTATACACAAATGTAGGAATAACAGAGAAAGCGCTTCTCTTACTGATCTGTTTTGCATCTGATCTGATCCTGCACCTTTGTGACCTCTGCTCCTTGTAACCTCACTGTTCCACCCGCCTCCCTCTCATTCACACACGTACCTCTGTCTTAAGCCCCAAGTATACTCCTGCGTACGTCCGTTCACGCGTATGTACGCATGTACTGTACGCAGAGGGTTCAGACTTGATACTCGAGCGTACACCCTGAGCAGCTGCAGAGCAGCTTCACAGATAAGGGGCGTTTACCTTTGGGACAAA